GGCTTTAAGAGCATTTAAGCAAATACAAATTTGATCATGTTAATATGAAATTGTTAAAAAACATATTTTAGGACCATTGTCATTTTGAACGTTAGTCTTAATAAAAATCAATCCAAAACATACGTTCGTTCAATCGATGTTTAGTTCAATTGATATGACACCAGAAATCCAAACCGGTTTTTCAAAAGTTAAAGTGTACATCTTAACATGACACGCTGATTGGTTGAATTTTTAACTTCTTTCTTGGATATCGAATGCGTATTAAAATTATCTTGGGTTTAGTAAAACCAGGAGTTTAAGCATTAATCTTGATATCCACCATTCTAAAGTTTTTAGCTCCGATGAGATAATTTAAATCTGTTTAAATAAAATCAACTAATTTAACCCAATATCAGTCAGTTTCGAGAATTTGAAAATGTTCAACATAAACGATTCTAAAATATTATTTTCTATTATAGTTTATTTTAAGAATTTTCTCAAAGAACAAGATTATAAACTTTCGAATTTAAATTTTAGATTTTTAAAGATTAAAATTAATTTTATTGCGAACGGCTTTGAGCATTGATCAGCTTGGTGTCTAGTGCCAACTTACAAAATTGGTGCTTTGAACAAACGTTTTTAAAATTTTAATATTTTTTAATTAGTATGATCAGAATTAAAAATAAATATCAAAAATTATAACTGTAATTTTGATTTTTTTATGTTTAAACCATTAGTAAATGATGATGTAGTTTTAAAATGCTATTTTCAAAAAAAAAAGTATTGTACATTCATTTATTACGTAGATATTATTACAAGTACTAATGGTTTACAGGGTGTCCCAATAAGCATGGGAATTGCGTGACGATGTTAATATCGTCTTTGTAAGGAATTGTTTATTTAGATATGGTGATCCCTGTCTGGAGATGCTGTAAACCGTAGATATATCGTCTGCTCGAGTTTCATGTTTATGTCTTTCACCGTTTACATAAAATATACTCTAGCAGATGTAATTTTTTTTGACCATTAACATGTATAGGTAGTACAACGATGATTCGTAAGAAAGACGAGTTCGAATTAGTCTTCCCATGTTTATTGTTCATTAGGACACCGTGTCCCAGTATTTTGTCTTTGCTAGATTTGTAAATAATAATTCTTGGTAAGAATTCTCTTTAATTAGGAGAAAATATTTTCTCTATTTAAAGAGATAATTTAAATAAAATTGGATTTTATGAATACAGCGTACAATTATTATCCATCATCATCACAATCATATCCAGACATTTTTACAAATGATAATACTTTAGAATTATGTAACAGAGTTTACAATGCCATTTTTAGAGAAAATACTTTAGAAACATCTAACAGAGTTTACAATGCCATTTTTAGCTAACATACCTTGGAACACCCAAACAGAGTTTACAATGCCATTTTTAGATAAAATACTTAAAATTTTAATAACATATAACATATCCTCAACTCTACTCTCACTGGTAGAGAGTAAATTTTATTACATCCTCATTCCTCAACTCTACTCTCATTGGCAGATGTAAGTAACTTTTAGTACATTTCAACTCTACTCTCATTGGTAGATATGAGTAACTTTTAGTTTATCCTTAACTCCACTCTCATTTGTAAAGTTGATTTTAGTACCTCCTCAACTCTAATCTTATTGGTAGAGTTACATAAGCACATCCTCAACTCTACTCTTATTGGTAGAGTTACTTTAAGCACATCTTCAACTCTACTTTTATTGGTAGAGTTACTTTAAGTACATCTTCAACTCTACTATTAAAGGTTGAGAGAGTTACTTCTTGTAGATCCTTAACTGTACTTTTATGTAGAGATTGTTACTGTATGTACATCCTCAACTCTATTATCATTGGTAGAGTTACTTTAAGTACATCCTCAACTCTACTATCATTGGTAGAGTTACTTTAAGTACATCCTCAACTCTACTATCAATGGTAGAGTTGCTTTAAGTACATCCTCAACTCTACTCTTATTGGTAGAGATTGTTACTTTATGTACATTCTCAACTCTACTTTTATTGGTAGAGATGGTTACTTTCTGTACATCCTCAACTCTACTCTTATTGTTAGAGATGGTTACTTTATGTACAACCTCAACTCTACTCTTATTGGTAGAGATGGTTACTTTATGTACATCCTCAACTCTACTCTTATTGGTAGAGATGGTTACTTTATGTACATCCTCAACTCTACTCTTATTGGTAGAGATGGTTACTTTATGTACATCCTCAACTCTACTCTTATTGGTAGAGATGGTTACTTTATGTACATCCTCAACTCTACTCTTATTGGTAGAGATGGTTACTTTATGTACATCCTCAACTCTACTCTTATTGGTAGAGATGGTTACTTTATGTACATCCTCAACTCTACTCTTATTGGTAGAGATGGTTACTTTATGTACATCCTCAACTCTACTCTTATTGGTAGAGATGGTTACTTTATGTACATCCTCAACTCTACTCTTATTGGTAGAGATGGTTACTTTATGTACATCCTCAACTCTACTCTTATTGGTAGAGATGGTTACTTTATGTACATCCTCAACTCTACTCTTATTGGTAGAGATGGTTACTTTATGTACATCCTCAACTCTACTCTTATTGGTAGAGATGGTTACTTTATGTACATCCTCAACTCTACTCTTATTGGTAGAGATGGTTACTTTATGTACATCCTCAACTCTACTCTTATTGGTAGAGATGGTTACTTTATGTACATCCTCAANAATTAGATCTAAAGTACATGATGTGCTCCTTCTTGGGGAACCAGTGGTGGAGGTGGGAGATGATGGAGAGGAGGTCCACATTGTTGTCCTTATTCATCTAGCAAAACAAGAATAGTTTTAATGGATTCACAAAGGACCATATTTAATGAACATCTAGAAGTAGTTGAACCGCGTAGACGTAGTTGAACCAATTCTCTTCAGCTTGAACCAACGTACAATAAAGAGTTTAACTATGTAAACGCAGTTCAACTGCTTCTCGCTACTTTATTAAATCTTACCCTTGAACACTATATGGATTGTTAAAATATTTAGGTTGAGGAACGTCTATTTAGTTTTCTATGTTAGTTATCATTTTCTATTAAGAAAGGCAGACACCTTATTGGAAATTCCTGGATTGTTTTATGAGATTCTTGTTTTTTAGAGAGCTTCATATGTTGGTTATCATCTTTTATAAAAAAAACTTAGGTTTACAAAAGCATGATAATGCCGCAAATTTTTTTCAAAACTCAATGACGATCTTATAGCCTTATTTTTAACTGGCATGTTGTGTGCAGCACCCGGTAAGCCTCAAACTTTGTTTTAGTTTTTTAACCCTATTCCTGCTGGGGGGGGGGGGGTCAATTTGATCCCCCCCTGTAGTTTTTTTTACATAACTCAAAAAGTATTGGTCTGAGGCTGTTGAATTTTCTGACTTTTCTTACATACCCACAGCCCTCCCTTTAGGCCTAAAACCGGGCTTTAATACTAACTGCCTGAGTCCTCAGGCGCACTGCCTGAACGACTGCTTTTTCCTGTAACAAACTAAATCTTTGTTTTGACCCACTTCCACTTGTCAGATTATGATAAAATTTAGCTTTTTGGAAAGCCTTTGACATAAGGAAACGAATTGCACAAGTTTTGCGAAAAAAATTGCAAATTTTTTGCAAACAGCCTGTCAAAGGAAAATTCCACATTTTTAGTTTTTTCTTGATTAAAAATCAGGTTATTTAAAATTTTGCAAATATTTTTGCATATTTGAAATTGCATGGTAAAGGGCTTTTCAAAAATGTATAATTTTTCATTTTTGGACAATTTTTTTTGCAAACATTTTTACTATATAACTGGATTTTGCGATAAAAAATTCAATTTTTGCAAATTTGCTAATTTTTTTGCAGATTCTAATAGTAGAGCACAAGAGCTTTCTAATAATGTATCATTTGTCATATTTTGACATCAAACATGGGATTTAGAGGGGGGGTCAAATATTGACCCCCCCCCAGCATATCCTGGTTTTCAAGTACCCCAGGAGAGATAGGGTTAAAAGTATTCTACAATGTTCACCTGACTGTAAAGATCAAGGTACTCCTTCCTGCAGGCCATGTACATCTTGTACAAGTAAATACTGAACAGGATCTCCTGTCCGTGTTTACAGTTTCAACACTAGCCAACTAAGAGACTGCTTTTTTCGCGCATTTCTTGCAAAATTCCGCATTTTTTTCGCTTCCTTTCACAAAATTCATTTTCGCTAAAAAAATATGAAATTTAGCGCAAAAATTTCCGATATTCACAAGAAAATGTTTGTGACATTTCGTATTTTTTTGTGAAAGTTTTCTTTTGCCAGTTGATATGAATGTGCCCCCTTCTAGTGATATAAATAAGTTAATAGGAATGTGACTGCAGAAATGACATATTTTCCTTCCTCACCACTTTTCTTGTAATACAAATTTGTCCACTAAAAATAAGCAGACTTACATGTTTGCATTAACAGATTTTTTTTTATTGAGCTAAATATACTCTTTTCTAAAATGTACATCAAAAATATTTATTGATTAATCTGCACTAGAGAGAAAAGCCAGAACAAAACAGGACAAAATGTTTTTTTGAAATAGCAAAAATAAATGAATATGCAGGATTTCTTTTTAAAGGGAGTGACCGGCTATGTAAGGTAGTTGAACTGAGAATGCATTGTTGTGGAAAACTTCTTTCGGATTCATTTGAGACATATTAAACTTTTTACAGATCTTTTAAAGTTTAACATGTCTCAAATGAATCCGAAAGAAGTTTTCCACAACACTGCATACTCAGTTCAACTACCTTACATAGCCGGTCACTCCCTTTAAGACTAGACTAGTTTAAAAAAAAAATATTTTTGGTTTTTGTATTCTGAATATTTTTTTAAAATCATTTGTCTGCTTATGTCATTTTTCGACGAATGTTAAAAAATAACTTAATTACACAGCAATTAAAATATTTATAATGGATAAATTCAAACAAATGATATGTTAATGTCTATTTTTATAAATCTTAGTTTTTGTCTCAATAGGCATTAAACACTGAAAAGTGAACAAATAAAGAAATGCAAGAAGAGGTGCCCCCCCAAAAAATATGTTTAGTTGAAATCTATCCTTGATAAAGTAGTAGATTAAGAATATTTCCATCATGTATCCTTCTAGTGCAGTACGGTATTTGTACAACAGAAATATCACAACTTCACGTCCAATCCTAGAACAATAGGAACTGAGTCTTTACTCTTTGCCACAAACTTAAATTTTCCAATACCTATATCTTTGCAACCTGATGGTGTAACCGGCCCTTTAATGTTTTAAACTTAGATTATTTGATCATTCAGAATTCAGATTTGAAAATTTCTAATTTCCATTTTCTTTCGTTTTTTTCTGCTTATTCATATTGAAAAAATCCTTCCTTGATGGTAGCAAGGATTAAACACTTAGTTTAATTAAAATTATTTTCTGTCCTCTAAAAGTTTAATCGAAATCAAAAGGTTCACTCAAATTACTTAAAGTCCGTTAATTCGTAATTTCTCTTGAAATATAAAAAATCTAACCTACGTGGACTCTGATCGAAACATGAAATTTAGATCAAAATTCCCACTTTTTTCCTAAAAATGTGGAATTTGATCTAAAACTTAATTATCGAATTAAAAATGTTTTCTGGCACTAAATAATATCAATATTTTTCCAAAATGTGTACAGAATTAGATATAAAATGTGTACAGAATTAGATATAAAATGTGTACAGAATTAGATCTAAAATGTGTTAAATTAGATCTAAAATGTTTGGAATATATGTTTTTTTTTAAATCATGCTTTTTAGATTGGGTTTCAATTTTCCAATCGGGACTCCACTCTTTTAACCTTTAACCTTTAACAAGACCTTTGATTGTGTGTGCAATATATCGTATATAAACAGAATACCTGGCCGTGATGATAAAGGCCATTAGCCATGCGCATTGCCTGAAATAAGAACTTGTTAAAACAAATTCAAAATATAAGGAAGACGACTTTGTGTAGTTTGTATATTACGGTGGTTGCCGCTGTATGTTCCGAGATATATAACTCCTTTTCCGGGGGTTTGCACACATTGCATTGAGTCCACGTTCCTACTTCCCCCTCTCTCTTCACCTGCCGATCCTCAGTCAGGGTAAAACAGCTGAGATGGCAACAGCTCCAACCCAGGGTGCAACCTGGCTCCTTCATGAAGATCCAGATACCTAGCCAGCAACACATGGTTTTGCTTACATCTGTGACGTAACAGGACAGGTTTATTGTTATATTGTAAACAATAATAGAGATAATAAACTAGACTTCGAAATCTCTGTTAGGTTTACTTTAACTGAACTGTGAACGGTAGAATGTTAACAATCTAGTTCTGTTTACAACTTATTCTCGATTTTTTATAAAGATACAATTCTAGATACAATTCTAGTTGCATGATTAGTTCCCGGAAATCTGTCGCAGTTTTTTTTTACTAATTTTATCATGTAGAATCTGGTTATTCAGTAACTACTATAAAAAACACGTGAAAATGAGTCTCGTTATCTATCCGAATTTAAGTAGGTAAACAACCTGAAATTCATAATATTTCTTCTGAAGCGTAATCCCACTCTCCTCAGGCTGCCTCTAAACTCAATCCTAAGAAAATTGATGATTTTTTTTTTACAATATTGAGCTATCAGAAAAGGTGAGCTACATGTCTAAAACTTACTTTTTCAAAAGCAAAAATATGAATATTAAAAGAATATTTAAGTAAATATTTAATATTTGTAAAAAAATATTAAAAGCAAAAATATGAATATTAAAAGAATATTTTAGTAAATATTTCATGTGTGAATAAATTTTAAAGCAAAAATATAAATATTAAAGGAATATTTAAGTAGATATTTAATATGTGTAAAAAAAGAAATATTTTTTCTCGATTTTTAAAAATTTTATGAAGTTTTTATAAGTGTGGTAGGCAGGAAGAGGGGGGGTGGCCAATGGGTATTTTAGGGGCCAGGGGGGATGACTAGTTTTTGTCACAATACTCCTATAAAAATGCATTTGTCTTATGTTTCATGGTGAGAAGTGAATATATCTGATAATCTTTTCATTTACAAACATTGTTTGAATTGTAGCTTGCATTGATTTATAATGATTTCAATGTATAATTACTTTTCCCGTTCATATGTTTATCCCTGAATGTACCCTGTAAATCCGCAATATATTTAGAATGTCGTCTTTTTTAAAGATAACTATTTCGCCACAAGCTTACTCAAGCATTGGTTTTAGCTCTGCTTTGTGTTCAAAATACCCAATTTAAGGGTTTACACGGAAATTAACAGTTATCAATCATATTTCAGAACTTCAGCACAACATTACGATGAATTTGAGATCGACTACTAAAAAAAATGTACTCAAGCGACCGATCTTTATTTGACTCGAATAAGAGGTTTATGGTGTAAACTCAATATTGCTGATACCCCCCCTGATACCCCTTTGAGGGGGGAGGGCACGCGAGATTTTACCCAAAGCATTAATCATCCCTGGTGTCTGGACTCCCCCTCATTTCTCAAATAAAGTCATGAGGAAGAAAATATATTTGGAGAAAGTAAAAATTTTTAAATCAAAAATTTGTTGATTTTTTCATCACATCCACATCTATAAAAAAGAGGCATATGCAAGTATGAAGCATTTTTTCCAAGAAGAAGAAAAAAGATTTGAAACTTGAAGAAGAAAAATAACTTGCAGTACACAATTCGATGATTTCTCCTTTAGGCTTTTTCGGGAAATAAAAAAATGTTTTAAATATTTTTTCCCTAATATTTTTTATTGTGACTTTAATAGGCCCCCCCCCCACAACCCCAAATTTAACCCAAGCCTTAAAGGTTCAACACTAGTTGGTTAGTGCTTACCTTGCCAGTGCTTGAGTGCGGTATATTGTAATTAGAAAGGTAGTTAGAAAGAAGGTGATGTAGGCTATAGATAGCAACCTTCCCTAAAATAGTTTGGCTTTTCATTTTTCCTTATTTATGAAATATGTAATTCAAACTTTTCTAATTTTCTAGTTAGTTATCTAATAATTTGAAAATAATCTTGAATGCGCTCTACATTTTAATATTATTTAATAACATATTAATACAATTTGACTCTTTTACGCTAGTGTTTTATCTATTTAATTATTTAAATTTTTTTGAATAATAATGACCTTTGAAGCTGTTGGAACCTTGAATTCATTAGTTCCATGCCTAAAGAGAAAAACATTGATAAAGATGAAAATTTTTACAACGACGATGTAACATCACAAAGATCCAGACTAGATTAAAGCCTTGTTATATATTAATTAAGAGCTTCCCTGGAACACTGCAAAGTGAATAAATACTAAAGTGGAACAGACTAAGGCAACGACGACAGATTGGGCCAAAAGGTTTTATTTGGTTTGGAAATAATTGCATGAAAAGATTTCTTTTGGAAAGTGAAGACTAGAAAAAATAGACTGAAGACCCATGTAAATGTCCTCTTCAGTTAGAAAATCGAAATTTTCATAATTAAAAATCTAAATTTTTTGTATGTTTGTATGTAGTTTATATGTAAATACTATATAGTCACTTAATCAATTCATTGATTTTGCCTGCCTATAGGAATTTATCTTAAAAACTGCTTTGTTATGTTCTTTGAAATCTCACTCATTCTGAAATATGTTTGTAAATTTCTTAAACAGATTATGTTATTATCCAGAGGCGTATTCAGGGTGGGGTTAGCTGTGGGGGCTCAACCCCCCTTCTGGATCAGTGAAATATTTGCTTTTGGGGCGAGGTTTTGGCCTCCCCCACCCCTAAAAAGAAAAAGAATGCAAGCCCTTCCTGGAAAAAAAACCTGAATACGCCTCTCTTAATATCTTTAAACCTATTGTTATTAAACCTTGTGAGAAAGTTTTTTTTACTTTTTAAACTGATATATTTTTTAATTTTAGAAAACTATAATTTATTGGAAAAATCAAAGAAATTAGATTAGAAATTAGGATTTGTTGATGCCAATAATGTTTCACCAATATAAATGCAAAATGTCGAGGCCTACGAAAATACAAGTGGGTTGTTAAGATAAATCGAAGGTCAAAGCGCATCTACACTTTAATATCGAGGCTGTCTAAAAATTATTTGAGGACTAAGTTTTATAGTTGTCTATATCTCAGTGACATATTTGCAACACAATTACTGTTTTAATAAAAATTCTATTAGATTAAATAATCTAAGATCAATATATCAAATGTTTACTCAATCAGATTGCAAAGATATAGGGATTGTGACAAAGACTCAAGTCCTTTGCAGAAAATGTTTTTGATAAGAGTCAAACTTTTTTAATTTGATACAAAGTGGTTTGGTTACCCTTGGCAGAAAACAATGATGAAGAATTTGTCTGGAAATTTTTTATCAAGAAACCAGAGAAGGGTCACCCAGACGGAGAACAAAATGCTCAAGCACAAGTAGAGAAACTTCAGCAGGTCCGTCCCTGAACAAAAGGAAGTTATGATGAGTGGTCCCTAGGAAAAATGAACTGAATCCAGGTCGGTCCCTAATAACAAAAGAAACTTAAGTAGGGTATCACTGTACCTTACAAAAGGAAGTTCAGTAGGGTGGTCTATAATAACGCAAAAAATTAGTAGGGCATGGTCCTTTATAACAAAAGGAAGTTCAGTAGGGTGGTCCATTATAACACAAAATTTAGGAGGGCATGGTCCCTAATATAACAATGGATGTTTAGCAGTGTGGACCCTAATAACAAATGGATGTTTAGCAGTGTGGACCCTAATAACAAAAGGATGTTCAGCAGTGTGGACCCTAATAACAAAAGGATGTTTAGCAGTGTGGACCCTAATAACAAAAGAATGTTTAGCAGTGTGGACCCTAATAGCAAAAGAATGTTTAGTAGTGTGGACCCTAATAACAAAAGGAAGTTGTTGACCCTATAAACTAAAGCCAGGTTCCTAATAACAAAAGGATCTGAACGGTGGTTATGGTAAGGGAAAAGGGGGTGGTTGTGGTACCTTCTTTCATGAGATGGTAGGGATACTTGACGAGAAAAATTCGAACGAAGACGCTGAAGTAGACTGGCATGATCATAAACATCGCGTGCGTATTTTCCAAACTAAAAATTTCTAAAAATTTTATTTTAAGATTTTTAACATTGAAAATATAAAATAACTTGCTAAATAATTTGTGTGTCCAAATAGTTATTTATCCAACATAAAACGTTAAAAATTACCAAAAACGACATTTGTTACAATCTTTATGAGATCAATGTACAGGGTGTCCCAAAAAACATAGGAATTCAGTGACGAATTCGATATCGTCTTTGTTATGAATTAGCATTGTAATACCTAATTTTAAAAGCCATTATATTATTATGTCTGCTAGAGTTTATTTAATGAAAAGGGTAAAAGACTGAAAAGATGTGTCTATAATGTCTCCGCAAGATGAACAGTGAATATGGTTAAGTTTACTCTGTTTGTATACTGTAATTTTCTGGTTTTACTAAGTACAACCGGTTGCAGTCAAAATATAAACAAACAAAATGTAAACATAGCAGACGAAACTCTTACAGATTACAGCTTTCTCAGTAGGTATCACTATACTAAATCAAAGAATTATTCATAAAGACGATATCGAATTCGTCACTGAATTCCCATGTTTTTTGGGACACCCTGTACGTAGATTTGCTAAGGTTTTCTGATGCAGTATCATATAGCGTCTTAGCAAACTACACTGAGATAACTAGTTAATGTATCCGTCAATACAAAATATATCGAAACATGATGTTGATATATTTTAAACATTATATATATACAAGGTGAGTAGCGATTTCTTGTAGATAATAAAACATTTTCTGGTAGTCTCATTTTCGATAAATATGTATGAAATTTTAGATTTTTTATATTCCGCGAAAGTATATTTTACTCAAAATTATAAATGAGCATAGAAAAACAAAAAAAAACTCAAAATCTTAAACAGATCAGATAAGTATAGTTTCGGAGAAAATGCACGAAATTGATCGTTTAGAAAATCCGCAATTTTATTTTTGAAAAAAATCATTTTGACGATTTTAATTCTGTATATTCTTTTTTTGATATGAATTTTGAAAAAAAGTTAATGTCTTAATTAGTATAATAGTAAATTAAGCACAAAGGAGTGTTTTATCAAGGACGGCTTATGATATTTTCCAGGGGGAAGGAAATAATTGAAATGAAGAAGACAAAATTCCCCTCCCTGGATTTTTTTTCAGGGAATTTTGTCAATTTTATGTCCAACTCATGAGTAGCTGGGGGGTTGAAAGGAAAAAGCGTGTTAGCTAGATTTAAAATTTTGATAAATAATTAAAAATTTTGAAAATCAAAATTAAAGAACTAGAAGGTGCTTTCTCTCTCTTCTTGTGCTTCTAATTTTCCAGGAGGAGGGGTACGTCCCCCAGTTTACCAGTTTACCCCTACCCTCGAGCCACCTGTGTGTATTATTAAAATATGATGATTTTTTTATTCAATTTCGCGGATTTTCTCCAAAAGTAATCATCTGATCTGTTTAAGATTTTTAGGTGCAATAGAAATAATATATTCACGCACTTTTGTTTTTCTACTCATCTTATTTTGAGTAAAAAATCTTTTAAAGTGTCTATCAGAATGCATTCTAAAACTTCATAAATATTTCTTAAGATATCGCTATCCACCCTTTTTTGACCTTATATTTTTTAAATTAGTTAATGCGAATGGATTTGGTTATGGTTCAAACTTGTGGCCTAAAAAATTATTTCATTTGATTTTTTTATATACTTAAACATTTAAGCTTACGGTAGTTACGATTTACAAAGAAAATTGTCAATAGAACTAAAATGTGTATAGAATTAGATCTAAAATGTGTATAGAATTAGATNCTTAGCTCGTGTTTAATTTCATTATAGCCGTCGAGCTAAATGTTAAATAAGTTATTCATTTATTTATTTATTTATTTATCAAAGCACTTTTCTTCATATTTTGTTAAAATATAAAATAAAATTTTATTCACAAAAACTGAAAATTCTATGAAAATTGAACAATAAATAATATTATCCAAACAAAAAAGTATTCTGATTGATGAAAAAATTACTTTTAAATTTAAATAATTTTTAGATACCTTCCAATATTGATTGAAACAATGATGATTTTGCCCTTTCGTGCTTTTCGGAATAAATTATTGGAAAAGTTTTTAAAAAATTATAAATTGTAAACACTATGTTTTATTTTCCCACCTTGATCTTGAACACAACCTGTACAGTAGATCACCACAAATCCACGTATTCAGTACACCCAGTACAACAGGAACCACACCAGCTGTACATAAAGATGGAAATAGATTTGTTCAGACGTTTTATCTTTATTTGGCATCGAACTGCTTTAGAGCTTTAGAAAAAAAGTTAAAATGTTGTGGAATTTTTTGAAAACTTTGTTATAGCCGAAACATTCTGTATGTAATTTCGATTACAACGTTCGTATTTTCTAACACAACGTTCGTATTTTCTAACCCAACGTTCGTATTTTCTAACGCAACGTTCGTATTTTCTAACACAACGTTCGTATTTTTGAAGCGCTTACTGCATGCAAGTTTAATATTACAAGTTAAGTGTATCATTGTGTAGCTCATTGCTAAATACATTTTTTGTAAGGCATTGTGGAAAATCTTAATTTTTCACACAATAAACTATAAGCATATAAGGCCAACACTAAAATGAAAATTTTAAGATCTAGATATTTATTATCTCCGTATCGAGATTATTTAAATTGTACAAAATAGTTTACATGATTAAAAAAAACAATTTTACATCAAACTCGTTTACATATATTTTGAGAGAATTTTGTAGGAATCAATTTACGGAAACATGAAAAATTTGGTATCGAGGTTACATAGACTATGTAAAACATACAAATTGAGACTTATACCAACGAAGTACATTGATGGTTCTTCGTTGATATCGTGGCTACATATTATTTTAACTATGTAGTCTTGAAGCTACATAAACGAGGTAAAGGAAAGAACGTTGTAATTAAAAAACTGTGTAATTGAGGACTCAAAGAAGTTCGTAGTAAGATTTTGACTCCACTGGAGACCACCGGAGGGATTTTATTTTCACTGGAGGGGTTTCAAAAAATGCTTTTCACAATTTAAAACTTTACGCAGGGTGATTTACATTCCACTGGAGGGATTCAGATAGCCTTCCTAGGGGTTTATAATTCCACTGGAGGGATTCAGTTATCCTTCCAAGGGGTATATAATTCCACTGGAGGGATTCAGTTATCCTTCCT